GGTCGATTTTGTAAACCTATCTAGTTTTTCTACGTAAGTGATAAAGGCAAATGTTTTATCTCATTCGACTCATCATACCACCAGTTACAAAGTTACGTATCCTTTTTTTTCTTTTCTTTCCTGTGTTAAGAAAAGTCACTTTTACTGTTATGATACGATAAGAGGGAAGGTCATCTGTGAATAAAATGACTATTTTCTTTTCAAACCGAGTGAAAATCGCTTCAAATAGGTAAAAACTAATGGCGAATCGAATGGACATATTTACGAGATCTTTAGAGGATCTTCAAAGGGTCTCTAGAAATCCTTTTCTTGAAAAGACATAGCTTTGTGATATGAATCGATATTTTATGATCTTTAATGGATATATTAATGATTCTTTATGCTTGTGTATATAATATTAACGGAAACACACTCAATAAATGTACTGAAATGAAAAATAATATGTTCATTAAGGTTCGTTTATGTTTTTATTTGATATTCTACGATGTGATTGGACCGATGTTTTGCAAAGTTGACTGAAAAACAACTTTAACACATCAGCATATGTTTGACCTTGAGAATATGCTTCGATTGAACGCCAAAACCGGCGAAATAATTTTAATGCAATATTTCGTTCGACAAAATGTATACGAGAATCCGCTATTAATTTTATCAGTTTTTCAAAACTTTGATCTGTACGTGAACGAACAAATGCCTTTTGATTGCACCAAAGACCTTCAATTGCGTTTGATTCACAATGATATTTAGGGCAGTATATAATCTTGACAGTATATTTGCTCGCCGGTATCTCAAGTTTTGTGACCTAGACAATAGAGCAAATTATATAGGATGAAATATCTTCCAAAATATGGAATGACTTTCACTTACATTTTGAAAGGCTAGTTGTTTTGAAAGTATTTTATGAATTTTATCCAATTTAACCTTAGCTGGTAATTATACATCTAATCCTTTACACAGTTTAACTAAACCTTTTGATACTCTTCAAATACTCATCGACACCTTCCCATTTAATGTTGAACAAACGTAAAGACATATAAAGCAAAGTGCTAAGATATTTTGTGTCACATTTCGACTTGCATATTTCAGCAACATCACTAATATCGGTCAGACAAAGTTTTTCATTGAAAGGTAATTCTTCATCATCAATATCCATACTATATTCTTCACTGGATGACTCGCTTGAAGACGAAACCATTTCGAGAAAGAACGTGTTTTTCTCGAAAACGACACCTTTCGAATATTTCGTATTTTTCGATCAGAAGGAAGCATTTGCTAAGGCTAAAAGGTAGTTTTTCGTGATCAGCAGCAGCTCAAGCTTTATCCATTGATGTAAAGAAAACACGAAAAAAATTTTTTTACTGGAAATTCGCATTGCCGGCACCTTACTATGAACTTTTCCAAGTCGACCATCACGAACAACCACCAACAGCTTTATTCTGTCAGAATACAAGCGCAAAAATATTTCATTATAGTATTCTAAACTAAAACTATCGAAAAACACAAAATCAATTTTGTACGAAGACATATTCGAACATATGAACTTAACTTCGCAGAAACTGTAAAACTAAATCCACTATTCTGTTTCTATATTCTGTACAACGATTGAAGTTATGCAATCGAGTCGATGTTATCGGGAGAGCCTCCACTAGAGTTCTTCTTGAAGAAGTCAAGCAACATTTTTGGTACTATAGCAATAGTTCATTCTTGCTAAATATATTCTTTCATTTTAGTTTTATTGTTTTTCGTTTAATGCTTTATTCTATGTATGGAAGAAAAAAGAGCAAAAAGAGAATTTTTATTGCTTATGAATTCATAAGTCTTGGTTTCTTCATTCAATATTTGCATGTTTCTTTTTATTATTAGCAGTCGTGAGTGTCTACCATCATTAAACATTTACTGGATTTAAAGAACGCGCACCAACCAAATTTGGCGCCGGTTCCTTTCTTGAATCAACACTACTATGTTGATTTTTTCGTGCTGGCGTCTTCAAGGAGCATTTGTTCCAACACCGGTCCTGTCTCACCTTTCGAGCTGTTGTCGTATCCTAATATTCGTCTTCCTTCTTCTTCTAAATCTTCAGCCATTGCAGTTAATCGTTCGGTTTTCTCTTCGATTTTTCTTTCGATCGTTGATATTTGCTGATTTTTTCTCTCTTCGCCAATTGATACTGCTGTTGTTTCATCTAGATTTGCTCGACTTGATGTTGGATTTTGATCATTTTCATTTGGTGTTTGTTCGGCGTTTTCTTCCTCTTTGTCGTTGTCTTGCTGGAGTTCTGTACGGCCGGTTATGGACCTATCATTGTCCAATGATTTCATGTCTATGTGATATTTTTTTGGGAGAAAAAGCATAGCATAGTATAATGGGAGCTTCAACAAAAAGTTTTTGCCCGCATTCAGAGAAAGACAATAACCTGACAAAAAACTAATATTTTTCTTAGGTGCTTAAGAGGCGATTCGCCAGCCCATCAAGAAATCAAGTCACCAGTGGAAAATTGACATATACTTTTCATATTCGGATTCTACTATCAAAACTGGGGTTATGAAAAATAAAAGAAACTTTCTGACTTATTCTGGCTGAGTTATAGAATTTACAAAATGAACACCATCGTCGATTTGCGAAAAGTAGCCATCTCTAATATTTTGACTATAACTCCGCCATTTTTTATCCGTTCTGTTCGAGTAAAATCTCAATCGAAAGCCTGATAAAAGTGAACAAAATCACATAGTTTCTGATTTTTCTGCAGTAGGAAGTGACTGTTTAAAACCCACATCAATTGGAGAATTGGGATTTTGAAGGATCAAAATTTTTGAGAAAATATCGCCTTCGACCCTCCAGACAGAATTTAGCTAAGAATTCGAAGGCCAAATGCAATAGAGAATTCAATTTTCCACAAACTGAGCGCGAAAACTTTGTTTTAAAAGTGGTGCAAAAGTTCCAAACTTGAAAACAAGTTGGCCAACCAACCGCGAGTTTTCAGTTTTTTGAGATTTTAGTCATCGAAACTTCACTTAAAAGCAAAAGTAAGGTGATATTGGAGTCAGTGCCAAAACTGCATCACATGACGTGCCTTTCAAATCTTATAGAGAAATGAAAAATTCCGTAAAAGTTTGCTCGGAAGTCGAACATAAAAAATCGAAAAATTGTCGAAATTTTTTTACTTTTTTCTTAATTTTTTCACTTTTATCGGGCTTTCGAATGAGATTTTACTCGAACAGAACGGATAAAAAATGGCGGAGTTATAGTAAAAATATCAGAGATAGCTACTTTTCGTAAATCGACGATGGTGTTTATTTTGTAAACCCCAGTTTTCCATAGTAGAATCCGAATATGAAATAAAAAGTATATGTCAATTTTTCACTCGTGACCGGTCTTTGGCGAGATACTCGATCGACTGACGAAGTCTCTCTTAAAACTGCAGAAATCGGGTTAGAGCAAGTTGATATTAGAAAATTCCTGAGAGGCTAGTGTCTGAGGCAGATGCCTTTAGCCGAGATGTTATTTTCACACAAGAATGCTAGAAAAGAAGAAGTCGTTATAAAGTCATCAAAATCTTTGCTGAAGAAGTTGACCCAAAACATTTTTTTCCTTTTTACTTCGAGACAACCACTGCTGATTCGATAGAGATGATAGAGAATTCAAATTTAGAAAAAACTAAGAGTAGAATGGAGAACATTAGTGCATGAAAAATCGGTTTTTGTGAAGCACTTTATGCGAAGCATTTTTTTCAAACTATATAAGTTTGTGAGAAAAATTTCTGTGCCTTTCTAACTTTGTATGGAGAATATGACGAGTATCTCAAAAAAATATAAAGGTTTTTTCGTCAATATTATCTCATGAAAACAGAAATTACCTGTACTAAGAGACACCATTGGAATATTATGTCTTTGCACTTGACTGGAAAATATTTTGCAAATGTTTATGCAAGTAAGATTATTCAGAATAACAAAAACTCAAAACAAACATACACGTTGCAGGGAAACAAAAAGAAATATTTTTTCTTTATTGTTTTCGTTTTTGACTCACCTTCTTTGTATCTACCTTTCTTTTCTTTTTTATTCTGACGCCCTCTTTCTAACTGAATCGACTCATCTGTTCATTTACATGTGAGAAATAAAAAATGGTTCTTTAGGCTTTTTGGAAAATCTTCCTCTTCCAGGCTATATACAGACAGGATGCTGGCACTATAAAAAATCGTTTTTCTTTTATTTTCATTTTATTATGCTGATTTTTAATTGAAAACTACGGATAAAAAATTGATTTCATATAAAAAGAAAATCATGGTACTTCAAACGAACAGTTGATTCATTTCGCATGGGACTTTGCATAACTAAAGTGGTTATGCTTCTTCGACTACAAATGATGTAATAGTCCTATCTGATCTGCCTTCGAAATAAGCTACAACTCCCAAAATTATGATCGATTCACATTAAACAATTTGTTATTAATTTGTCAAATAGAAACCATACATAATGATATCTGGATGCTTCATATCCATCGCTCTGTACAAGAGAAAACAAGGTCTTTATAAACTACTATCGTTTTCAATGAATAAGACAGTCTGATATTTATAACTTGTTAAAGATTTTCCTCGGTTCGGACGTTGGATTGGATTTCCGACGACTCCCAAGAGTGCCACCCGGCGACTCTTGGTAGCCTTAACGACGAATGTACTATGGATAACCGACCATGCTGAGCCTCGTGGCAATATTTGTTTTTAGAAAAAGTTTTGACAATCTACCGAAAAGCCAGTTTTACGAAAATTAGGATTTTCAGGCTGTTTCACTTAATATAAAAAAAATTCACTATTCATTTAAAAAACATCAGAACGAGTTCAAAATCTCAGGATATTATTAATGTTGACCGCTAAACGTGATTATAAGATCGAAGAAATCGCAAAGCATATTTTTGTTAACAGGTTTTACAGAAAGCTTTTTGGAAAACCTTAGGTTTTGTGAAATTTTAGATGTAAGCCTCTTCTCGTTTTTTCTTTTATAAAACATAATGTCAACAACACTTATTATTCATACAGCACATAAATTGCTAAAAGTTTCGCATTATAGCAAATTAATTTTCTTTTTCATCAACAGCAGCCTGCGCGTAAATAATCTTTCTTACAATAGAATCCAAACATTTCTATATATACATGTTAACGGTTGGTCCAAGAGTGATGCTGTGACATTTTTGACACAGTAATCTGAGCTTTTCTCAAAAAGTGTAACAGCTAGAAACTTCGTTCTTGCGTCATTCGACGCAGCTCGCCATACTCTACTTTTGGTATAAAAATGAAGGTATGTGGTTAGAGACTCGAATTTTTAGAACCGTTTTTCGGCGCGTGGCACTGTGACAAAAAAGGTCCTAAATTCGAAGTTCTTCTCATTAAAAGCTAATTTGCTGCGAATTTAGAAGTGCTAATAAAAAGCACCTCGAGCAAAGTTTGTAGAGGAGTAAATGAACTACAGATTACTAAAAAAGAATCTTTTCAATGAGCTTTCCAATATCCGATCCAGTTATAAATATGAGACTTTCTTTATCATCGTCTGACAATGCAGATTGCGTTTCGATAAGAAGCTTTCGAAATTGACAGTCATTATCCATTATGAATATCAGTAATTTACTGCTTTAAAAGCAAACATTTACCAGTGTGTGTAATACTTTCGCTAATAAGTTGTGACGCTTCTTACATATTCAAATGTATTACCTATGCTCAAACGTGGACAACTAAAAAATAGTACGTAAGGGAAGTTAGCAGCAGATTTCTATATTTTCGACTAACATTTTTTATTAAAGCTGTGCTATCTCTAGAAATGAGTGTGCCAGATAGAACTCGATAAGCTCTATCGAATGGCACAATCAGTTTTTCAGAATATTGTTTATTTCACTGTTAAAAAAGACAAATACTCATTTTCTGCACGAGACGAAGGTTCAAAATTTCGTATTTTGACCTAACATTTTTTGTTAAAGCTGTGCCATCTCTAGAAACAAGTGCGCCAGATAGAACTCGATGAGCTCTATCGAATGGGACAATCAGTTTTCTCTTCATGTAAACCAGCCCCAGGAAAAGTGACCTGTTTTGCTATGAAATAGACTTCGATTAAAGACCACCTGTACCATTTACTTATTAAAGAAAGTATTGTAGTAAAAATTATACAGTATCTGTTCTATTGTTGAATTTTGGTCAAAACGTGTTATTCTATTGTCTGATTAATATTGAATATTCTCTTTATATAAATTCTTTTATTCGCGTTAACTAATGATTAAAAGTTTCACAAAAAGTTTTAGAAAGAAAAGTAGCGATGTAGACAGATGAAATGAAGTTGGAGATTTGAGTGGCTTATTAATTTCAATCAAAAGTTTAGGTCAAGGTTACCGAGAGTTAAATACCGACAATAATTGGCGACAAGAATCATCAGTCTGGGGAAGAGTAATCCAACTAACAATATTAAAGAAAGAAGACGAAAATGCCAAGAAATGGCTTTATACAGTATGGCGTGATGATCGTCGATCAATTAAATCCATTTTCTATAAAGATATAACGCTAGCAACCCTACCAACACCATTAGCTCCCAATGTTCGCAATATTCAAATTCCACAATTATCCAGTAATCCTTCAGATGATCCAAAGCCAGTTCGAACAGCAGCTGCATCAGCTATTATTATTCCAAAAAGAACTCTTTCGTTCACTATGGATTATGAACAATTTAAAATATTTTTTGATAGAAAGGAACATAAACTATCACCTGATTGGACTAGTATTATTAACGAAAAATTAATTCATGCTAAATTAAAATGTACATTTATTTTTGAGTACAAACATATCAGAATTAACAAATCACAAAAAACAAATTCTCCGTCCTTCACTTGCGTAGCTCATTGCAAGCATAAGTCATGTCATGTAGTTGTACAAGTAAAATTACAAAATGAACCACCAAAAAATTCAACATCATTATTTGCAATTGAGATTTTAGGAAAAGAAAATCATGAGGGTGGAATTGCCAGCCGACCATTATCAGGTACACAAAGAGCCGAAATAGGTACGAATCTCACTTGAAAAAGGTGCAATTATCTCTTATTTAATTGTATTTTCTTTTTAGCTAAAGGAGCTGAAACACTCGGACCATTAAATGCTTATGAACGGAATATACATAAAGCAGATGAAAATCTTCTAAAAAAAAAGAAATTTTAGTTATGTTCCCACAATGGATGTTATTAAAACAGCAATCAAGGAATACAAAAAGAAATATCAGTTCGATGAAGATATTTTTAAAGAGATCAGAATTCTTCGTTATTCAATGTTTACCTCTGATAAAAACATAGTGAGGAAACTGACTTATTCCAGCATGTAAAAGCCGCATACACATACCAAAAAATCGACACATCCCTTCTAGGTTGCATACAAACAACGGCTGAATATCCATTTCATGTGCACTTTATTAACGAAATGCAGATAGAGCGTTTCATTCAATATTGTAGGACAGTAAATTATTCTGTTTTACACATTGATGCTACCGGCTCTATCATTAAAAAGTTAACAGATCAAAAGCAATGTTACTATTATGCAATGACCTCTAAAGATGGTGATGATCCTTCATGTTTAATTCCATTCAGTGGAGCATTCTTAGCCGATCCTTCAATAACCAGCATTTCGTTTTTTTTCTACAATTAGAAAATGTATTATTATTGTCAATCAAAAATTCGTTCGTCCATCATTTGTCGTTATGGATTTCTCTGCAGCCTTACGTAATTCGCTATTAAAAGAGTTTAATAACGAGGATATTAACTTTCATCTGCGTCGTTGTTTTCTTGTTATAACTCGATGCTATACATTTAAACAAGTCATTTCATTTACATTTATTCGTTTCTGCTGTGCTCATGTCATGCATAGTTTTTCTCGCAGCTTATTAAAAATGCAATTGAAGAAAGATAAACGACACAGCTGTTTAAAACTATTCGCAGTATTACTTAATGTAAATTCATTTGATACAGCCATTAAAGTAAGGAACACCATTATGCATATTTATGGTGATCCAACAGCTGTTCGTACTAACGACTGTATTCAACAATTAATTACAGTGAAGGATACACTTCAGTTTGATATAGATAAATGTTTAGACGACGAAAATGTAATGAAAGATAATGACGATAAGATGGAATTAGACAGTGTTGACGAATTATTAC